GAAAGGGGGTCAAACACCGTATTAGTATGGTGTTCCTAATAATCCTTTAGGTGAGTGTATATCGATTTATTTCAAGGAGGTTGCAACCTGACACTTTCCACCACAGAATTGAGGCATAATCACAGCCAGCAGCTGCACTGTAGGACTAACGATAGTCACACTACTGTACAGTACAGTAACAGCAATGGTGCACCTTAAACATACACTAAGCCAATAATGTGAGTGGTGGATAGACACGCGTACAGTACATGTTCTCTGTTACTTTGTGTCAAACATTAGTGCATTAGACACTTTGTCATTTCAGGAAAGCAGAAAACTTGTTGACACAGCAAAGGAAATGCAGAGGAGTGATGATGGGCACAGCCTGGTGAAGGCGGCCCTTGACGCTCCCTCAGCATTTATATCACATATCTGCACATGGGACATGCGTGTGTGAGGCCTCACACACATCTGGTATAATTACTGTGCTGGAGCATGTGCATGTACAGCCTGCCAGAGACTGCCATTTACAGAGGCCACTCTATTTGGCCAGGCCCCTATTGCTTCTGCTACATTACCACCTTGTGCTGTAATCTTTGTTTTACAGCTCTGCTGCTTGTATCCATAGCGGTGTCCATGCATGTTCAATAAGCTTCCCTCCCACTGGGCCAGAGGATGACCCAGCACCATGTCTTTCTGGGGACATCCTGGACACCAACGTGCCCACATTAATGTATTTGCTGCTATCTATGAACTGCATGAAAAAGACGATGAGTGCATCTGCTTTGGAGGGTGGAATCTGAGGTGCGGACCACCACACCAGAAAGGGAGCCTCTACATCATATAAAAGGCACTTGGGACAATGAGGAGGCTGCTGAAAAGCCCCCCCTGATAGTCACAATGAGTGTGCATTATGATAATTAGAAAAGGCAGCAAAGACAAACAGCAGCCTTATGCAGACCACCCAGCACATGGATAGGCCTCCTGAAACTCCAATGTGTCACATACCCATCATTGAAGGTGCTGACACACCCCAGAAACTCTTTCCGAAACACACTCATTCCCCCCCCCCCCAATTCCTGTGCTTGCTCAATCTATGGCAACTGCTGCCGTAACAGGCAGTTCACAATTAGAAATATATATTTCTCCTTGTTACATTCAGTAGTTATTTGGAAAGCTATTCACAGACAGTCACTCCTACACTATAGACGTATGACCCAAAGGGGCATCTTAAAGCATTAAGTTGTTGACCATTTTTTTTAAAATTATTATTGCCCTAACCGTAGAAATGGGCATTTTCAGGGGAGCAGCTATTTTTTTTTAAAACCCATTCCCTGACTTATGTATGCCAACACACTTCTCCCTCATTTGGTTTGTATGTTCTCTTATGTTTCCTATGTCGATGTGTGACTAAAGGAATTTGGGCTCTATGTCACCTCATAATTGTACCCCAGTTAATCACGAAGTCACGGATTACAGCTTCCTATTCACTCAACTCAACGATGTACAATTTACAGGGGAAACATGTTTCAGTTATATTGTGTTCACTACCATTTCCAGGGGTGCAATCATGGCAAATGTGTTTTTGTAAAAAAATAATTATTTCTTGATGGATTTTTAATTTTTTTTTATTTCAATGAAAGGTTGGATTTTTCTCACTTTTTCAGTGTGAGATGAAGCTTACTTCACTGAAAAGTAGATTTATTTCTAACCCTTTTATAAATCTTTACAAAGGGTGTCAAAAATTGTGGCGGTCACTTAACAGAACCGCAGAGTGATTCCTTTAAGTATAAAAATATGTTTCCATTTACACATTTTCGCTACATTAAATAGAAAATAAATGGAGACAAGAGAAGCAAATAACATGAGAAATGGGGGGAAAAAAGGTACATATGAGAATGAAGAGAATCAATCCACTGGTCTCCTGGATGTGGTCAGCAATCACAGGCACTCCGTCTCTCTGTATTCTGCACTAACATTCATTTTCATGTCTTTCTCAAGTCAAAGAAAATCTTCCAGAACATTCCAGTGGAGAAAATTTTATTTTCAAACAAATTTTGGCTCAATTGTGTTGGTTCCTTGTTTATCATAAGAAGAATTTGTTACTGCTTAGTAAAATATTACTTTTTAAAATACTGTCATACGATCTGCTGGTAAAGTAGGTGATCCTTTTGTCCCAAGCTGGTATTTTGTCAAAGTTCAGGAAATCCAGATTCTAATGCATTACAGATTTTGCAGAGGCAGCCCCATCCATTACTGCAGTTAACTCTCCACACTTTCAAACAGAACAACACCTGACTAAACTTAGGGATGGCCCATTGTGTGGGATTCATTCTCTCATAAAAGGCAAAGCGACAGAGTGCGCATCAGCCCCATCCCCCAGGACATAAACAGCTTCTTTAATATAGAGGCAGTGACATACTTCACTTCTAATTAATTTCCTCTGTGTTCACATCACTCCTACAACTGCCCCCCAGTGGCTCTGAGCAATCTTTCAGGCCTGGTCTATTAGCGATATCACAACTGCGCCTCACCCCCGTCCCACCCTGGGGAGGTGGACTTTCCCAGCCACCAGCTCTCTCGTGAGCCAGTAGCCAGCATTTCATGTGGTTGCCCTTTCCGCCCATGTAATTTCCCGGCTGCCCGGCACTGGAGATCACACGATGACACGGGATGAGCAGGGGAACCTGGAGTGGGAGACACATATGTTGGTGCTGGTTAGCCGAGGCACTTTGTACAAAAACGGGTGTGATTCTGGCAGCCCGTTATCACTGGTGAGTGTAAAACAGCGAACAGCAAGTAAAGGTAAAATACCAGACATTTCAAAATTATACAGACACAATCAGGTCTGCTGTATATATTTAATGTCTAGCATTGTATTGTTTCACCCATAGGCCACAGGCTGCAATGACATTCCAACATAAACCTAAATTTGAGCTTACCATGGCACCTAAGCACTTTGTGATAAATGGTGACGGGGCTGATAGATGCTGGCAGTACTCTGTACTCTGTGAAGAGGACCCTTATTAAGCAACAGGGCATGACAGTGTGCACATTCATTCTTCAATGTCTGTGGTGTTAAGCATCTAATTCAGCACATAGAATACATAGAGACATGGACAAATTTGTTGGTACCCTGCTACAAAAACACACAACCATCTCTGAAATAACTTGAAAAGTTAACAAAATAAATAAATAAAAAATAAAAGTTTAATGGCATCCCTTATTGTTTATTCCATATTTAACACAAATGAGCCTTGTTTTTGATTACCGATTCAGTTGAATATTTTATATAATTTAAACAATGAAAAAGGCATGGACAAAAAAGATGGTACCCTTAATTTAATATTTTGTGGCACCACCTTTTGCAGAAATCACTGCCAACAAGTGATTTCTGTATTTCACAATAAGATGTCTGCATTTGCCAACAGGTAGTTCGGCCCACTCTTCCTGAGCACACTGCTCAGGCTTGAAGGGTGGCTTCTCCACACTGAAATTTTCAGATCTTTCCAATAGATGTTCAATAGGATTAAGATCTGGGCTCATGGATGGCCAGTCATTCTTGAGTGCTTTTAGCTGTATGTTTTGGGTCATTATCCTGTTGGAGGACCCATGACCTGGACTGAGGCTGAGCTTTCTCACACTGAGCAGTATGTTTTCGCTCCAGGATGATTTGGTAGTCTTGAGGCTTCATTGTGCCCTGCACAGATTCAAGGTTCCCTGCGTCAGACACAGCAAAGCAGCCCCAAAACAAAACCGAGCCCCTCCAGTTTTCACAGTAGGCATGGTGTTCTTTTCTTTTAAAGGTTTATTTTTTCCTTCTGCAAACAGAGTTGATATGATTGGCCAAAAAAATCCAGTTTTGTCTAATCAGTCCAAAGGACATTCTCCAAGAATGTCAACATGCATTTTGCAGAATTCCACTCTGGCTTTTTTACGTTTTTCTATCAATAGTGGAGCCCTCCTGTGTCTTCTTCCATGGAGCCCATTATTGTTCAAAATGCGAGGGATACGGTGTGACCAGAAAGTGACGTACCTTGACCTTAGAGCTCAGCTTGAATGGTTTTGGATGGTTTCCTTGGCTCTTTTTCTACCATACGCACTATCCTTCTGATCGACCTGGGGTTGCATTTCCTCTTGCTCCTACATCCTGGGAGGATGGCTACAGGCCCATGAACCGTATACTGTTTAATAATATTTGCAATTGTGGTCACAGGAACATGAAGCTGCTTGGAGATGGTCTTATAGCCTTTACCTTTAAAATGGTTAACTATAATCATATTTCTGTGATCCTCAGACAGCTCTATCCTTTGCTTTCTCTGGTCCATGTTCAGTGTGGTGCACACAATGATACCAAACAACACAGTAACATGTTATTTCCCTTTAAATAGGCAGACTGGCTGATGAAAAGCTTGAAGGCACCTGTGATGCTAATTAGGGTTTAACACTTAGTTTGAAACATGACTACAATGCAAGGATAATTAGTCTCTTTATGGCAGTATTTCCCAACCCAGTCCTCGGGGAACCCCGGACAGTCCATGTTTTTGCTTCCTCTCAGCTCCCAGCGCACCTATACCAGGTATTCGGTGTTCCTGATTGGCTAGGAGCTGGGAGGGAGCAAAAACGTGGACTGTCCGGGGTTCGCTGAGGATTGGGATGGGAACCACTGCTTTAGGGGTACCAACAAATCTGTCCATACTATTTTAGCATATCTTTAGCATATAGAATAAACAACAAAATTTCTTTTCACAATTTTATTGGTAACTTCAAGGACTGCTACACAACACAGGGTGCAATGATGGGCTGGCACCTACTGGAAAAAGGGATGGCAATGAGTTGCTCAGTCTCTCCCACACTCTTTACAGCAGCCTTTGAAACCATCCTTATTGGTGGGAGACAGATGGTCCGAGGGGTAAGAACACAGTTAAGCCAAGGACTACCAGCCCTGCTGAGCTACAAGAATAATGTGACAATCCTCCTCCAAACAGCACCTTGTACCACCTGGCTCGATTTGAAGAACTCCTCACATTTGCCTGGATGGGGATTAAAACTTCCAAGTCCCGCAGTCTCTCCATAAATGAATGACAAGAGGACACCATCAATTGCAGACCAACCTGTCCGATGCCTGAGAAAGCTGTATACAGCCGACCTGTCAGACAGATACATGGCTAATACAGTTGTGGCACAACTCTCTGAAGGCCTTGAAAGGACTGATAAAAGCCATCTCCTGGGTAAATTCAAGGTCTGGTGCTACCAGTTCATATTATACAGGTGTCTGATGTGGTCTCTCAAGATGTGCGAGATCACTACCTCCACAGTGCTGAAGATGGACTCCAAAGCCAACAACTACATCAGAAAATGGCTAGGTTTACCCCAGTCTATCAACCTGGGCTACAGACAGGAAAAGTTGAGGTTCGTGTTAGAACTGAGGGACACCAAGAACACCAAGGCCCTGGTCTGAATAGGTCGCAAGTAGAGTGTAGAACAGGCAGTTGACCAGGTGTTCAGCAGACAAACGCCACAAGGTCATCGGCAGGACACAGTCTGAGTACGGGTCTTGGGTGGGGAGCTGCCCTGAACAAGTGGTCCAAAGCCACAAAGAAGGAGAGGAAGGAGCTAGTGATCACCGAGGTGGTCAGGATAGAGGAGGAGCAGTACAAGATCAGCGCTCTCAGCCATCAGCAGCAAGAAGGCTGGACGACCTGGGAAGGAGTGATCAATAAGACCGTAAGTTGGGCTGATATGGAAGATACTCCAAGCCAGCTTGAACTTCCTGATAAGGTCAACCTATGACACTCTGCCAAGTCCCAGCAATCTGTGCCTTTGGTATGGTTCAAAGGAGAGCTGTGAAGTCTGCAATGCCCCAAATCCAGGACTACAGCATATCCTGTCCAGTTGTAAAACAGCACTGGTGCAAGGTCGATACAGGTTGTGCAATAACAGCGTCCTGAAGATGTTCGCAGAGATCCTGGAAAAACACAGGCTGGAAG